CTGATAAAGTAAGTCAGGCACAAGAACACAATATTGTATGTTTCTCACATATGTAGAAAAAAACAAACAAAAAGACATAAAACAATGATCTGAAAATAGAAGAGAAATGGAGATTATGGAGGCCAGGAGAAGAGGGGGTGGAAGAATGGATGAACACAAAAGACATTCATTGTATGAACAGATCACACTTAGTGCTGTGAACTTCAATCATATTTGTTAATGTTATAAAAAAAGTAAAAGAGAAAAATTCATCCTGATAGAAGAAAGACCACACGGAAGGCAGGATCCACTCTCATCTCTGGTTTTTCTCCCCTGTCGTGTTCCCCTGAGTATGATGCCTACTTGTCAGCTCTTTCTCTCATGATCAATGTGGTTTATGGTTACATGTCATTTAATCCATACAGTCCACTTTGCATATTACCCTCAGGATACTTATAATTATGTGACTTGGAGTGAATTAAATTATATCAACTATGAGGCTCTGTGATAGTTATTTTGTTGGTTTTTCCTCCTAACTTAATGTCTTTTTTTTTTCCTCTCCAACATTCAAACTTGTGTAAATCGCAAAATACATGTCAAAACTGGTATTCAGTTCTCCTCTAAATTTCTAAAGCCTACTTTCACATATTCATCCATTTTTTATCAAATGACTTTGCTTAGAGTTTCAAATTAACCTTTGCACTTATCTGTCACCCACATAGTAATTGTTTATCTAAAATTGGCTTTCATTTAATTTTTTATTGATTGAAAAACCTTTAGATATAGCAAGTACGTGTCTTAGAGAGATTAACGTAAAGTTTAACAAATCATTGGTTATTATGTCAAAGTAAAAATTCATTTATTGTAATAGAGATGCATATTTCTATAAAAATAATATTCCCAGTTATAAATACAATCCATAGTACCTTGTGGATCTCTTTTATTCAATGGATGAGCCTATATCACAGGTATTATTGAATAGCCCTTGCAGGTATAACATTCCAAGTTTTCCTAGAAGCATTGCTTGCCTGTCTTCAGGGGATCATTTAATAACATTTAGAATTAGTAGCAGATATCCTGAATATGATATAAAGAATCTTTATCAATAATGGCCCACAGGGATTCTGTGTTCTCTCTATGTTTTTGAATCCTTGTACATTGTATTTTGGGATTTCCTATCTCTCTAGTAATAGCTTTTGCTCTTTTAGTAGAAGGTTATTTTGACTTATTTTTTAAGAAAATGTAAATCTTCTCTGGAGGTTATAAAGGTATGAGAACACTGCCCAGTAAGAGAAAATGCTATAGGATCCTCCTCCTTCAGAGAGACTGGGCTTTCAGAAAAGTAACGGAATCTATAACTAAGTTCTTATGCCCAGCGCATGCTGTCTGTTCACCTAGTTCTAAGGCTATCTTTTCCTGGATTCCATATAGTTCCTTTATGCTAAGGACAGGCAGATAGTCATTCTCCATATGATAATTTCTTTTTCTTCTTTTTCACAATTTTATTGATAAATTTCATCAGCTGTTTTAAAAAGTGATAGGAATTTCCCTAATAATGTTGAACATGAACATTTGTCTATCTCTCAGACAAACTGTTCCACCCTGAGGTATTATGCAACAGAAAAGAGTATGTATGTCCACAGATGGGCTATGCTGGACTATTCAAAGCTTTATCCCTAAATTTCATCATTTAAGTTTACTGTATTTCTTCTTTTTTAATGTACTTTAATATTCTCACTTCTGATATGCATTTAAAAATATTTTTATTGGAGCTAGAGAGATGGTTCAGCAGTTAGGAGTACTGAGTGCTCTTGAAGAAGACCTGAGTTCAGTTCCCAACACCTACATGGTAGTTAGCACCTGTCCTCAACTCCAGTTTCAGGGGATCAAATGCCCTCTTCTGGCTTCTGTGGGCTTGTATGACGTGGGTACACTTACATACATGCAAGCAAAATATTCACACATATAAAATAAAAATAAATAAAAAATAGTGTTTTATTGAGAATTTCATACAATGTATTTTGAACACATCCAGCCTTCCTCCCCCATTTACTCCAAGATCTATCCCCACTTCCCTAACCCCCAACTTTATGCTTTCTCTTTTTTTTTTTAAGTACATTAAGTCCAACTTCTGTTACCCAAGTATTCTTTGGTGTGGATCTATCCCCTGGTGTGTAACCTGCCATTGGACACACCCTTACAGAAATCTGACTTTCCCTTTCCCAGAAGCTATCATCTTTCAATAGTTCATCATCTAGGGGTAGGACTTCATGCCTAGTCCCTACATCCATGCTAAGATTTTGTCTGGCTTGAGCTTAAGCAGGTCTTGTGCATGCAGTCAGGACTACTGTGGGCTCACATGTGTCACTGCCCCGTTATGTCTGGAAAACATTTTCTTTGCAGTAATCCACCACCTCCGAATCTTACAACCTTTTTGCCCCCTTTTCCATGATAATCTCTGAGACTGAGGCATGTGATATAGGTGTTTCATTTAAGTGCTGAGCACATTGTTGTCTTTTAGTCTCTGTACCTTGACCAGTTGATGAGGTTTGAGAGTTGCAACAATCTACAGGTTTAGCAATGTCGTTGAAGAGTCAGTTTAATATTGCATCAATTTAGCAGAAAAATAGTAGTAGATTCTCCCTGAGGGCCTATCACCTAGCCAACCACAGATTTTTGGCCTTGTTAATGGTACCAGATATGGGCTTCATTTTTGCGGAATGGGATTTAAATTTGATCAGAAAGTGGCAGGTTACTCCCATGACATTTGTGCCACTAATGCACCAATGTGCATCTCTCTCCAAGCCAATTGTTATTGTAGCTTCAAGTGTTCATAGCTGGATAAGACTTATGGTTACTTTTCTCCACTGGTAGCACACACAGCAACTTCTAGCACTATAAAAACTAGCCAGTAGGGATGAAGTTTCAAGTCAGTATCAGCTTTCTCCATGTTCTTAACTCCAGAGATAGTTAATCATCCATGTTATTGTTTATTTATTCACTAAGAAATGAGATTCTTAATTTCACATGTGTTATGAAGCTATATTAACCAAAAGAATATGGCACTTACATAAAAACAGAAATCTAGAACATCGCAACTGAGTAATCAGAAATATATGTAATCAAGCAGCATCTCCTCATGTTCAACAAAGGCTTGAGGAGGACAACAGAGAAAAGAGTAGTGTGGTTAATAAATGGCATGGAAAGCTGTTCTCTATGTATGACAATGTTAAAACACTAATTAAGTTTGTATGATGTAGCCATACAAGAGCATGTTTTCCTGAAACTTTCTCGAGTATATTTCCATGAGATACAAATCAGTGAATAATAATGTAACTTTAACATCACACATATAGTTATGATACACTAAGCTGTAGTTCCAGGTGCTTTGGAGGTTGGACCAGGAAGAGTGCTTGAGTTTATGATTTTGAGTTGAGACTGAGAAATATATCATGGCTCGGAATAAAAACATAAATGAATAAAATTGTATACATTACCAAATATACATGTATGTAAACATATCCTTAGTAAAATGTATAGTCTTTATTATTGTGCATTGAGTAAAAGCTCAATTTAATTAAAAGTATAACTGAAGGCTACATACAAAGAAACTGTACTAGACAGGAGAAACCTTTCTTTGAGTTGTTGGCCAGGGCAGTCTAAGAAACTCTCAAAATTGCATAGGCCATTGCCACAGTCCTTGATTACCTCACAGAACTTGACAAATTGATGGTAAAACCCTATTACTGACGACAGAACATAATTTAGGCACAGGATTTAGAGCAACAGAGTTAGGAATGACCCGGAAGCCACCTCCCCTGAAGGCTAGCTCTCATAGCTTGGAGAGCACCATGTAAGCTGCTAAGGGAGAACATCAATTAAGGGTCCAACCCCAGCTTCAAGGCCAAAAAACCACATCAATGACCAGCATAGAAAACGGCATTGGTGCAGTAATAGCAGTTTTATCTTGGGGGTAATCAACAGCTACCTGATTGAACTTAAAGACCACTCAATGGGAGGAAACTCGTGTGTGGTACTGTAAACCTAGCCAAATACACATAGCTGGAGAGGTCAAAGATCTTAGAGAAAACTCCAAGGCTGCCACATCCCTAGACAAATATAATTTCTTACTGTGTGCAAAATATAGATCCTTAAATCTATAGACAAGTATCCCAGTCACCACCTATCAAAGAAGTTTCTTTTTCAAGAGACAGAGATATTACAGAGTACCACAACTGGTCATACACAGAGATTGTCTGTGAATTGCCCAAGCCTAAGTGGTACATCTAGCATGCAACTTCTACACCTAAGGCTCATGGATCATAGAACAAGGGATAAAGAGAACACTAATGCATCTTTCAAGTCTCATCAATGAAGTTCACTCATGCAAAAGAGGGCCAGGAACGCAAAAGGTCACAAATTGCCAAAACACAGAGAATAAGAGCCTACAGAGTGTGAGTAGTTGGACAGGACTCTTATATTAAAATCCACCCACCCAGGGCTCAGGGACCAGTGTGGAAGGGGGGCAGAAAGATTGTAAGATCTAGGACCATATAGAAATAGTCCTATAGGCTCCTGGGATACTTCTCATACAAACCTACAGCAACGGTGTCAACATACACAAGACCCATGCAAACTTAAGCAAACAAAAACCTAGCACAGAACTGGAAATGAACAGCAGGCCCCAATCTCAGTCGAAGAATTGTTGACAGTCCCTAGGGAGGGACTCTAGATATGCTGACTAGATCCCAGTGGATGAATTTGCACTGAGGAACATCTGGGGACACTAACTTTACATGATAGGCCTTAAAAGAAATTACAGAATGTGTGAACGCCAGTGGGGGCGCGGGTACAGGAGGGTGCCAAAGTGAAAGGGAGTCTAAAGATGATTTTCTATATGAAATACACACAAATTCAATAAAAATAAATTTTAAAACAGAAATTAAACCTGATCCCTAACATCTTTGAAATGGCAAAACTAACTCCGTATTATTATAAGTGACTTTTCACCTTGTGTTTCTGAGTAAAGTGGGGCCCTGTTTTAAAATAGTAGAATCTTCTCTTCTCTCTTCTCATGCCAGACCTGTTCTCCATCAGAGGCTCCTGGGGCTGATCCTTATTCTTGCTTCCCTCATGGGTCCCCACACAGGCTCAAACAGACACACAACTCCACACCTGAAAAGAATGACCATCACATTTCAACTAAATGGGAACACTTAGATATCTATCAACAGATAAATGTATAAAATGTGGTACACACAGTCAATCGAATTTTGTTCAGCTCTAAAGAAATGGATGGAACCTCCCATTATTATGGTAAGTGAAATAAGCCAGACCTAGAAGGACAATGCAAATGGTTTCTCTCAGAGGTGGAACCTAGATTTAAAATTATATATGTACATATAAGTATTTGTATAACTGTGGGGGTGTCATAAAATGGGAAAGGGAACCACAAAAGAGGGGGGATCTTAAGAAAGGGAAAGAAAGGGCTTAAGAAAGGGAAAGAAGGAGGGATTATGTTGCAGAAGGAAGTGAATCAGTCAGAAGGGAGGAAGGGCATGGGAAGGAGTAGTGGAAGAGGAAGGCAAATTAGAAAAAGAATAATGAAACATGCATGAAAATATCATGATAAAATCTGTTATATTATATGTTAATTTAAAATTTGATGAAATAATTTAGAAATTTTAGGAAAAGCATATGCAGAAACTTTAGAACTTGGTAAAGAGTAGAGCATTCTTTTTCACAGATTTGAAACAGAAAAAACCAAGGACAGATTGAGTGATTAGTTATTGGTACGGGTGTAGACAGACAACAGGGCAGGACAGAGGTGTCCATCTTGAGGAAAACTCTCCATAAATTGTTATGCTGTCCAGGAAGGGAAGAAATGAAGGTTTGCAGTTCTCCACCATAATGCTGGCCCACATTGGAAAGGGCCGTAGAGGAACAAGAATATTCAGAGCGGAAAGGACCATATACTTGCTTTCTTTGTCATTTAGCATGGACTATAAAGTATGTAAGATTCATTAATGTTTTTAAAAATACTTTTAGTTATTCTTTGAAAATTTTGTACATATGTACAATGTATCTTGATCATATCCATGTCTCATTCTGTCCCCTCCAACTCTCACAATGCTCTATCTAGCATATCTCTCTCATCCAACTACATGTCCTCTTTGTTTTTTAAATAGTCTACTGAGTCTAGCTAGTACTGCCCCTATGGAAGTAGATGTGGAGCCATCCCCTGGAGCATGGGCAACCTAACAGTCCTCATACCCCCCAAGAAAAGTGACCCTACAGCAGCCATCAATTGCCAAAAACTCCTCCTCAGATAGGAATGGGGTCTCAGAAGCCCTTCCCTGTCCATGCTAGAATTATTTTTGTTGTTTTGATACAGGGTCTCCCTGCAGCCCCAGCTGGCCTGGAACTAGCTGTGTAGACCAGGCTGGCCTTGAGCTCACAGGGATCCACCTGCCTCTGCCTCCCAAGTGCTGGGATTAAAGGTATGGGCCACTATGCTTGGCCACGCTAGAATTTTTAGCTGGTTTTGAATGATGTAATTTGAGAGATATGGGCAAATCACAGATTGTCTCTACTCTCAGATTTACTTAAATAGGCTCAGAAATATTGTGCACTGCCTTTTTATAGACATTTCCAATCAGTAGAAATAGGAAAGAGGAGGCTAAAGGTATTGAGAGTGAAATATCACTGTGAGAAAATTATCCTATATAAAATGAGGGGATAGCCGAGTGGACATTGTGGTTGACACCTTTAGTCCCAGTACTCAGGAAGCAGAAGCAGCAGATCTTTGTGACACTGAGGCCAGCCTGGTCTAAGTAGCAAGTTCCAGGTCAGCTGGGGCTACATGGAGTTCCTGTCTCAAAAAGAGGGAGAGAGAAAAAAAGTGGGAATAAAGACAATAGACACCAAATTATGCAAATAATTCTATTTATCCCCCTTAAATCAGGTTTTTCTATAAGCCAATGAAGTTTCAGTTTAGTAGTCAACAAATTTTCCTAAATGGAAGCACATATTTCATTAGCAAGGTCTGTGAACACTGACCGATATAGTGGAATTAAGAATCGTCTTTAGGGCTGGAGAGATGGCTCAGTGGTTAAGAACACTGACTGTTCTTGCAGAAGACCCAGGTTCAAAGCCCAGCACCCACATGGCAGCTAACAACTGTCTGTAACTCCAGTTCCAGGGGATCCAACAGCCTCTTCTGTCCTCCGCGGGCATTGCATGACACGGGTGCACTTACTTACATGTGGGCATAACACTCATACACATAAAAATATTAAATAAAATATTAAAAAAAGACTTGTCTTTAGAATTAGAATGGGGTTGTGTGATTTTGACACTCAAAACTGTGACATCTGACCGATAAAGCTAAAGTAATATCTCTCTCAGCATCCTATACATAGTCGATCACAGAAACCATCTGCAAGAAACGCAGAACAGGAAGATTCGTTACGGTAACATATTCTCATCTCTTTACACTTTGGGGGACTGAGTCTCCAGTAATGCAGTTGGGCAGTGAGAACCACGTTCCCACAGTGTGCATTGTCTGTGCAGACCTTGGGGTACCTGGGAGAAACTTCCTGGGACAGATTCTGAAATGCATGACTTTGCAATGAATTGCCTAATCCTGAGCAAATGAGACTGTGATATTATGAGAGGGAGTATGTGTTGCTTCTATTTTGTATATACAGGCTAGTTTGTTGTCTATAAATAGACACTTTTATTTCATGCCACAGTCTCTGGCTCATAAATATTTTTTTCTTGATTTCTCCCATGGAGGGGAAAATCTTCAGGCTAGTTTGCTTTTAGACAAGCTATTAGCTATGAGTTTATTCATGTAGGAATTCAGCATTTTCTATAACATTTTTTCATTGTTTTGTGAGGACAGGTATCACTATCTTGACCTCATGGTCTTCCTGCTTCAGCCTCCTAAGTGCTGTCATTGTCATATGCTCCGCTATGCTCAGCTACAGGCCGTAATTTCTTGAATAAAATATAATTACCTGAGGCTGGAGAGGTGATTCAGTGGTTAAGTACCCTGACAGCTCTTGCAGGGGACCCAGGTTTGGATCCCAGTACCCAAATGGTGGTTAACAAATATCCATAACTACAGTTCCAGGCGTTCCAATACCCTCTTCTGACCTCCATGGGCATAGGACACATGTGGTACACTTACATCCATGTAGGCAAAACACTCATACACACTAAATAAATAAATAAATAAATAAATAAATATTTATAAACAGCTTTACCCAGCACTCGAGAGGCAGGCAGATCTCTGTGCATTCCAGACAAGCCTGGTTTATGTAGGGAGTGCCAGATCAGTCAGGGCTACACAGTAAGAATGCCTGACTTTCTTGTTGGAGACTGAATATAACAATATTCTGGTGCCAAGAAAATGCTTTAAATTTGCACTTGGAAAGATCCAAGTCATGTCCACAATTGAAAAAGGCAAACATATCTACCTAAAAAGAAATCACAAGCTGGGTATGGTGGCGCACACCTTTAATCCTAGCACTTGGAGGCAGATCTCTGTGAGTTCAAGGCCATCCTGGTCTACATAGTGAGTTCCAGGCCAGCTGGGGCTACAGGGAAACCCTGTCTCAAAAAGACCAAAAAAAAAAAGAAGAAAAGAAATCACAGTCTATCCTGAAGGAATAAAGAACAAACTGCTTTTCCAGTTGTCACAGGATCAGTCTTTCCGGCTCACCTGGTTCTGCAGTTTACTTGGTAGATTTTTTTTTTTTTCTCTCTGATTAAAAGAACTTTAAGAGTGACTTTCTTCTGGAATTGTAAGCTCTACATCTTTATTATTGTCAAATGCTGGCTTAAAAAGGCCTCAGATTCTAGATGGCCATGAGTTAGAAACAAATAATGTTATTAAATGGGTGTGTGTGTGTGTGGGTGTCTGTGTACATGCGCATGTGGTGTGTGGGTTTATGTGCATCGTCCATGCACATGAGTGTGTAGATTGTACACAGTCACATGTGTGCATGTGGGGCCAGAGCACTACTTTCTACCTTATTGCCTTGAAACAGGGTCTCTCAGTAAACTGGAAGTTTGGTGTTTAGACTGCCTGTCAGCAGTCACCATCCTATAACAGTCTCTGCCTCCCAATGCCAGAGTTACATGCACTTGCAGTCATGTTCAGGTTTTCACACGGGTGCCTGGGATTTAAACTCAGGTCCTCATGCTTATGCAGGAAGCACTTTTATTCAGTGAACCATCCCTCCATCCCTACAACATTTAACAACTGGATGTTGACTTTCATGAAGAATGAATCTCAACTTTTTCACAGGGGCTTGCCATTCTGTTTGGATGTGCACAGCTGAGAGCTGAGGAGTGTGGGATTCAGAAAATAGTAAGCTGTTTGCATCTGTGTGCTGAACAGCCAGATGTATCAAAATGAATAAACGTTGAGAGTGAGAGCACTAGCTTTCAGTTAATTATAATGATATGTGTCCTGAGAGTTACCTGTTTCTCTAAGAGGGCGGAGCCTGCTGCAGAGAATTGGCTGCGGAGAGTTAGCCACGAAGGGAGGAGCATTGGTGCCATCTTGGAAGTGAGTGGCATGGAAAAAATGGTCCCTGTGTCTCGCCCATGTGGATGTGAGAGGGGGCATTTACTGGCCTGGGGTGAGACTGCAGGCCCACAACGTGTGGACAAAAGCTAATGGAGACTGTGGGCGGGGTGCAGAAGTGATCTGGAATGGTGGGCCGCTGAGCCACAGAACAGAATGGGTTGCTGGGTGTTTGCCTTTGTAAGTTACTCTATTTCCCCTACCCAGGATATAAACTATGAAAAATTCAGATAAAGATGTGTTAGATGGTTTGTCTAATAGCACCAGGAACAAGGGACCCTAAGAGAATACTGGTGACAAATTGTCACAGCTGGCAGAATGACCATGCTAGGAATGACAAACTGAGGGAGTTTGGAAAAAGCTAGGGAGCTAATGGCCGTGCTGATATGGATCTTACAATGGATTATAAAATATGTAACTAAAAAGGTGCCAGCCATGCAGAAGCGTGGGCCACAGCTGTGGTGTAAATGTGGGAAAATAGCCCAGTTGCAGGCATATGCAAATTTGTTAAAGGTTATAGAAAGGCTAGAAAAACTTTTACAGGCCTGGGACACAAGCAGAGAACCCAGAGAGGGGC